GGGCTGTTGTCGCTTTAAATGAATGTCAAAAACACAGGTGGGGGTGCCTGCAAAGGTGACTTGAGTGGGTTTCTTTACTCCGCCCCCCCCCCGCCCCTCCTTAAGTTATGCCCACCATCAGTTGTTAAAGCTGTTCTTATGCATCTGCTGAGAGACTGAGGCACCGGTTAGGACCCCCACCTTTTCAGTTTGACACAGAAATTCAGCAGAGGATCAGCATCATATGTTAGAGTAAAGTTATGAACAAATATAGAAATACTGCTTCTTTTTTTTCTTTAATGAAAGTATTCTCCGTTTGTGTTTTCTGTTTACGACTGACAGTCACGCACATTAAATCATGCTCTGCCGTGTTTAGTCCCCCCCCCCCCCATACCGTCCTCGTCCCCTAAGTGAGTTAATCCGGCGCTCGCAATATCGGCTGCGGATTTAAGCATCGCAAATTAGCCCCATTAAACGCCACCATATTCCAGATTTGGCTATTTTTTTTTATTTGTTTGCACTGCGCCGAGGCTTTTGCGTGGCGCATGACGAATCGCAATCGCCGCGGTGCCAGTGGAATCCACCCGGCGCCGCAAATTGTGGAACTCTAATTGGGTTTCCAGATAATCCGCTGTTATTGGAGATGCTCATGTAGCATCCGCGTGTAAATCTTATAAGGTATTTAAACGGCTGCCAGGCCATATTGACGTTTGATTTAATTACCCTGGAGAGCTTCAGCTCCTTTTAACTCTCTGCGGTTCAGGCAGTTCGAAGCACATGGAGCGGCTCAGTGTGGGCGACGCGTTTGATTGGGCGTGAGGGTCTGGCCGCTGGAGCTCAGATGCGGATGCCCGTCTGAGCGGAGTTACCATGGTGCTTGTGTTCCGGCTCACAGTCGATGGCCTCATGTCCTCGGAGTTGAAAACTAGGTTGAGTTGGGTGTTAACCCAGATCCTCCCTATGCCCCCTGCCCCTCCGTGCCTATCCTGGGGGCACTGTCCCTCAGCTTGGCTTAAGTCTCTCCCCTCGCCTTATCCGTCTTTTGCAGATCCCTTATTCTCCTGTCTTAAGGGTCGAGGTTTGATCTCTATAAGGCATCACCAAATACAACAGCACCTTCTTGCAGAGTGAAAATGCGTGTAACTTGAGACGACAGAATAGAATATCTGTATCATTGTACGTGTACAACAAAACTGTGTGCTTCCCATGAGCACTATAAAAGATAAATAAGGGAAATAGTAAATAATATCTGAAATATAGATGTACAGTATCAAGCTGAAGGTGAAGTGCTGTAGAGCACATTCTTTTAGCAGCATTAAACACTATTTTTTTTTTAATTAGCTCCATTCATGTGGATAAGATTTAGCAGCACTTTAATAAACTGTTGTTGATGTGGGGGGGGG